TACACCACTTAGAATTTCTTTTAATGAGTGCTGAATGGTGAAAAACTGTTTTTGTCTAAAATCATTTTTATTTTGCCTCATTTTCTTTTATATATATAAAATAATTATAATATATAGTATACATATTACAAATATAATATATACAGTAAATAAAATATTTCAGGTGTACAACATTATAACTTGATTTTATATGCGCTACCTAGTGATCACCACTCTAAGTCTAGTTACCATCCATCACCATAGAATTGATTCCCTTCACCCATTTTGCCCTAGCCCCAACCTCCTTCCCCTCTAGTAAGCACCAACCTGTTCTCTGTGTCTATGAGTTTGTTTTTATTTTGTTCTGTTTGTTTTGTTTTCTTAGATTCCACATATAAGTGAAATCATACAGTATTTGTCTTTCTCCGTCTGACTTATTTCACTTAGCCTTATATCCTCAAGGTCCATCCATGTTGCTGCAGATGGCAAGATGTCCTTCTTTTCAAGGCTGAGTCGTATTCCACTGTAGATATACACGATATCTTCTTTATCCATTCACCCATCAGTGGACACTTAGGTTGTTTCCATATCTTTGCTATTGTAAACAATGCTGCAATCAACAGAGGAATGCATACATCTTTTCAAATTAGTGTTATCATATTCTTCAGATTAACAGATAAAAGTGGAATAGCTGGATCATACGGTAGTTCTATTCTTAATTTTTTGAGGAATTAGCATACTGTTTTCCATAAAGGCTGTACTAGTTTACACACCATCAACAGCACACAAGGCTTCCCTTTACTCCACCATCCTCACCAACACTTGTTATTTCTTGACTTTTGGATAACAGCCATTCTAACATGTGTGAGGTGGTATCTCACTGTGGTTTTGATTTGCATTTCCCTGGCAATTAGTGATGTCAAACATTTTTTTCTTGCCTGTTGGCCATCTGCACGTCTTCTTTGGAAAAATGTCTATTTGGATCCTCTGCTGATTTTTTAATCAACTTGTTTGGTTTTTCTGTTATTGTGTATTTTGCCTCATTCTTGAAACAGATTTTCACTGGGCATAAAATTCTAGGTAGACAGTTATTTTCTTTCAGCATATTGAAAATATCGTCCTAATATATCATGTATTTCATTGTTGGAAGAAATCATAATGAAAATTTAAAAATATTTGGAACAGCAAGATAATAGTGGTATTACATATAAAACTTACGGGCGGAATGGGACCAAGGACTGGGAAAGAAACTTGACCTCTTGCAGCCACTATGAGCACTAGGGCCAAGGCGGGAACATATAGGGTAGCTTAAACAAGTAAGTAAATACACTGAGGATAATAAGAGCCAGGTTTATCACTATCAGAGAAGTCAGTTACAAATATAGAAAGGGGAAAGGCTAGAATAACCCTATGCTGCTGGAACGGAACTGGATTACCAGTAAGAAAACTGACATAGAGAAGGAGTGTGTGTCAATCTGCTGAGGGGGTCTAAAAGCAATGACAGCACAATATCAATAAGTAGATCCAGCATAGAGATCTTGGTTTCTAAATACCACTCTCTGCCAAAAGGAATCAAGGCCCCAAGGAGAAATGGCTGACTCCAGAGATGGTGAAAAGAAACATAGAAGATTTGCCTGGAATATCTTCTTGCCCCAGAAAGTAAGTGAGTGCTCAAAGAATAATGGGGACATATCAAAATTACACAGGAGTCAGCTTTTAAAAGGGCTCTCACTGGCAAGTGTGGAATAATTTCGGTACCAAAATAAACACAGATAGCAACACATTATACACTTTGAGTAAAAGAAAAATCCAAGAGTCCATACTGGTATAAATAAATTTATGGGGGGGTTTTCAAAAAAATCTAAAAATTGCAGCTATCTTATTAATAAATGGTTCAGTCACAAATCATCAATAGATGCTAAAATAGAGAGGTAAAAGTTTAGTAACAAGATATTTACACAGTCTCAAAGTTTCTCTCCTTCATACTTGTTACTTATTAATTAATATATAAGACACACTTATAAACTAACTTTAGAGTGGAGAAAACATACCATTTTAATAAGACACCACCTTAACTAAGTGGTACAAAATAACATTATCAGTACTGGGACAAATCAACATAATCAACATAATATGATATGATACACAGGAAAAGCATATCATCATTTTTGTAGTGTTTCTACAGAAAAATCAAACTTGAATCTAATCATGACAAAACATCAGACAAACACAATTTGAGGGACATTCTACAAAGTAACTGGGCTATACTCTTCAAAAATGTCAGTCATGAAAGACAAGGAAAAACAGAGGAAATATTCTATACTGAAAAGAACTAAAGAAGCATGACAATGAAATGAAACACTGAAATAATTATAACAGGTTTTTCACCTACATAAATATTTAGAGGAACATTCAAAAGTTGTATGTGACAAGGGACAACTCTTCATTGTGTGAAACTGCAGTATGTATTGCAGGACTTCTAATGTCTCTGACATCTATCTACTACATGCCGGAAGCAACTCTCAATTACTGTGATGCCCAAAAAAACCCACAATAAATTTCCAAAATATGCCTTTAGGAGCCATTTACTGTCCCTGAGAAGAACTATTGCCTTCCACAATCTGGTCTTCTCTCTTTCAGTCTCTCTCTCCAACCACACTGGCCTTCATACTATCCTTTAACACACCAGCACACTCTGACCTCAGGAACTTTGTACATGCTATTTCTGTCTGGAGTGCTCTTGCTTCTGATACCCATGGTCCTTCCTTGACCATCCTGCTTTATTTTTCTCCCTGGCATACCATTAACTGACATATTATATATTTTACTTATTTATTTAGTTGCTGTCTGTACCCTCTCACTTGAACGTAAGCTTCAAGAGGGAGGAATTTCTATCTCTTTTGTTCAGTGATATGTCCTTAGCATATAGACCAGTGACTGGCACACATTAGGCATCCAATAAGCATTTGGGATTTGGGGAATGAATGAATAAATTTCCAACAGAAGGGGAATGATTAAACTGTTATATTCATATGATGGGACATTATATACCTATACCTATGTAAAATTGTGCTTTTAGAGAGGTTTTATGGGGAAATGATCACATATTTAAGTTAAAACAAAAGCATCCAAAAATATACACACAATTGTGGGCATTATGAGTTCACTAAGAACAAGTCATACTAGACAAACTACAGCTCATAATCACTCAGATCAAAGAATGAAGAAAGTCAAATATAAGTATAAAATTGTGGGTTGAACGATAGCATGATGAAGGATTTACCCCAGTTGTTAGAAAAATCTTATTCAAAAAGTTTTAGACTCTTTCCCCATAACCCTTAGTAAAGATTTTTATCAATAAGTGGACAACAATAATTACTAAATAAATAAATGGCACAAAGCTGGAGGGGATATTTAAAATAACAGATGACCTAATTGAGACTCAAAATCATTCCAATAGGCTTGAACATTCACATGAAACCAATAAGAAGAAATACTGCAGAGTTAAAAAGAATTATATAGGCTCAAGAATTGGGAATAGAAATCTGGATAGCAGTTCATGCTTTTTAAAAATAATGCCATAGTATGATGTGACCACTAGAAATCATAGAATATATTAGCAAAAAGAGAATTACCAAACATACTTCATGCTGGTCACATCACATGTGAAATTTTGTGCTTAATCAAATTTCCTGACAGGACACCATATTTTAAGAAGAATACAAACTAGAGTCTATCCAAAGGAAGGCAATTTGATTGCTAGAAGGTCTGAAAACATCAACACATGCAGATTAAAGAAATAAAGAAATGCAGATTACTGGGGAAAATATGTACTTTTATGCAAAGGGTGCTAGGACAACTAATTACCCATTTAATTACTTGTTAATTTTGTTTTTCACAAACACATACATAAACCTAAAATCCAATCTAATTTATACTTTTAAAAAAACTTTTCCAAAATTGAGATAAGCCAAATAATTATGCTAATCACTGATGAACAATTTTCTAATAAACTGTATGAATTAGGCCATAAAGTCTATGCATACGATAAGTACATCAATTTTTATAGGATTAACAATAATGATAATAGCTGCCAATTACTGAACATTAACTAGATACCACACATTCTACTAAGCATTTTACAGGCATTATCTCATGTAAGCCAACCGAACCCCTATAACATAGGTTTTATTTATACCCTATCACTGTTCCTAATAGGAGACCAAATGCCCTATCCACAAGAGAAAGAATAAACTATGATATATTCATTACATTGGAATAGTTAAAGCAATAGAAAGGAATAAATTAAAACTATGTACATCTACACAGAAGAATCTCAAAAACCTAAGACTATGTTAAAAACATAATTCTCAAAAGAATATATACCATGTTGAGTCTATTACAGAGTTCAAAACCATTCTAAACAGCAAGAAAATCAATACATTCAGGACAGGAAGTAAAAGAGATATGACTGGGGAAGGGGACACAAGGACTTCAATAGTATTTGGTAACCTATTTCTCAGGCTAGATGGCTGATATACAGGAATAATTTTTACTTTTCTTTATTCTTTATATCCATGTTTCATATATATATTCTTTTCTATGCATGAAATAATTCACAATAGAAGGGAAATAAGTACTATTAAGAAGAAATTCATTTATACATAAGCTATTTTGGTTCTGTATTCTTAAGCAGAGAATATACATCTGAAAACAGCTGGACTTCATCTGCATCTCAAGATACCACCCTCAAGAGAAAGTAAGAGTGACAACAATATATTGATAAAACGAGTGAATCCATTCTTATTTGCCTAAGCAAATAATTTGTTCCCATAGATAGATTTGGAATTAATCAAAACCTACAGAATCTAATCTTGAATCTTAACTTTTGAAGAATTAAGACTCCTAACACCTTAGCCAAAGACTATCAGTGACTTGTCATCAATGCCCAGGTAAGAGATACAAATTCCACCACCCTTTCTTTCACATTTTCTCTCTTCATCTCTAGATTCCTTTTATACCTTGCACAAGTCAGTTGTTCTCCCAGGACCAAACAACTTTGCTTTGATCTCTTCTACTTTTCTCCTGTCATCTTCATTTAATTCTGAAATGGGGTAGCCACACTCACGAGCCAAATTAAACTTCAGATTCCAGGCTGCAGAGAAAGTATAAACACACTTGAGATAATACAATGCAAAAGTGATCATAAGAGCACAGAGATCATCAATATATCCAATTTCATGCCTGCCACAATGCTTAGCAAAAAGTGTGTGCTTTCAATTTTATGACAAACTATTAGAAGTTCTTGAGAGAGATCATTTCACTGAAAAGTCTGACTTTTAAAAATCATATTCTACATATATTTCTCCAATGAGGCCACTTTAATATGGTATTCAATCATTTTTATCTCAGTCTTCCTTCCAATGAAGACAGTCCCTTTGCCTTTCCTACTAGCTCCTGCTACAGTTACTGCCACCTCCACAAGAGCTGATATTTAAAAATAATAAATAAAACTTGGAGTTTTTTTCAGAATCAAAATACGCATGATGGAAGTAATGGTGTAGGCAGTTAATCTCAAGGGAAGCATCCCAGGCAGGCCTGAATTGCTTATAAGTTGCTCTCCAAAATATATTCCCCATATTGCCTTAAAGATTTTTCTTTCTTTTATAATGGAATTCTACTATTAGACAATAACAGGATTAGTAAATGCTCTCTTTTAAACCCAAGTTTATTCTCTAACCCAATATTCTCTAACCGAAGTTTTAGTGTGAAATACCTTGATTAGTTTTTTCTCATGTCTAAGATCTGCTCCAAGAATTTTATTAGAAGAGAGGATAAGAAAGCATACGTAGTTTTATGATACAGAATAATTTAGAGCAGAGCAAACTGAAGGTTTGTCTCCAAAATAAGGCTACTATAATGGGAAGATGAGGGAAACATGAGAGCTTTAGGAGTTTGGAAACCTAAGCTATCTCCTTTCTCTCCTTCAGATATCAGAACCTACTTTTCCTAAGACCCTAAACTCAGACTAGCACAACTAATACTGTGACTTAGCTATATTATTTGTTAAATGGGCTTATTCTGGATTGCCAGTGAAATATGTAATAATTCTAACAGTTCTACAAGAAAATAATTTAGAACTCCAAACACTTAACTTCAAATAAATTGTTAAACTATAATGTTTATAAGCTTGACCTGCCTTCATCACAAGTTATCTGTTCCTACCTCGTGCTCGTACCCGACATTCCTCTTCCTCTGCATTTCTGAGTATTTCCTTAGCATGATTCAATGAGGATTCACACTTCAGAAGGTTTTTCACATGTGCAGCCAGTGAATCTACACTGCTACCACAGCCATCATCACTCTCTGACACACCCTCTTCCTCTCTACTATCTGTCATACTTGTCTTGGGTGAAGCATACGGAAAGAAGTTTAGAAGAACATCAGAAACTGACTCCACGGAATTACTATCCCATGAGCAGGAACTTGCATCACTACTTGAATCACTTCTAATAATAGTCATCATAGGGATAACAATTTTATTCCCAGTGGTTCTACCACACCCTTCAGGTTCAGACCTCATTACAGATTTGGCTGCTTTATACTGCCTAAGGGTTTCATCTAATGCTGCCTTGGCTTTGCTTTCTGCTTCCTGTAGAGGACTCCCAACTGTAGTTGAACTAATAAACTCCCAATTTTCAATGCCTCGTTCGCATTTCATATTCGTCTGTGTGCTAATATCCTTCTGTATGCACTTGTTGCTTGGGCTTTCCTCTGTGAATGGCTGTCTCCGACGCAAACCATCATTAGATTCATCAGCTGTGGGGGGTTCTTTGAAGCAAACCACCTTCTTAGATTGTATAAATGAAATATCACTAACATCTCTGAAAGGGACAAGGGGAGCAGGAAAACTGCATCGTTTCAATGCTATATTTTCTGCCTCCATTAAAAGTTCCCGAATCTCTTTAAGAGTTTTGGCACCACTGTCTGTGTCTCGGATTTCCTCAGACCCAACATCTTCAAAACCTGAAGATTCTGGCTTATTTATTATAACTCTACCATCAGCCTGAGAATTTAAAGGCATATTGTTTGAAATAATACTGGAGTTAGAAGAATCCAAATTATCTATTAGCCTTTGAATATGGTCTGAAACAAGCTTGTGCTTCTCACTACGTGAGTAAGTGCCAGGCGGGACTGTTGATAACCCAGTACTCTGACCAGCTTGCCCAAGACCACTTGAGATCTTCAGGGCATCTTCAGTTAGATGTGTATCTGGCAAATCCTGTTGATAGAATATATCTGGTTTTTGTCTGTGTGAAAAGGAACTAGGAGGAGCTGTTGGTAACACGGTTTTCTGGTCAGCTGGCCCAGGGATTGTTGAAACCTTCAGTGTATCTTCAGTTAGATGCTTGTCTGACAAGTCCTGTGGGTAGAGAATGTTAGTGTTCTCTTTGTATGAATAGGAACTAGAAAGAGGTACTGGTATTCCAGAATTCACATCAGTTTGTTCAGGGACAGCTGAAATCTTCAGAATATCTCCACTTTGATGTTTATCTGGCAACTGCTGTTTAAAGAAAATACTAGGTTTTACTCTCTGAGAATAAAAATTATGAAAAACTGTCAGTAATGGAGTTTTCTGGTCATCTGGTTCAATCACAGTTGAATTCTTGGGCTTCTTTCTCTGTGAGTGGGAACTAGGGGGAGCTATTGGTAACTCAGTCTTCTGGTCATGCGGTAAAATCACAGCTGAAATCTTGAGTTTCTCTTTATGTGAGGAAGAACTAGAAGGTCCTATTGGTATCTCAGTCTTCTGGTCAGCTGGTGCAGGAAAAGCAAAAACTTTTAAAGCTTCTTCAGTAGGATCTGGCAATTCCTGCTCATTAAAAATACTGGCCTTGTCTCTATATGAGTAGGAACTAGAGGGGATTATTCGTTTCCCAACCTTCTGGTCAGCTGGACCAGAAACAGCTGAAGCTTTCAAAGTTTCTTCAGTAATATCTGGCGACTCTTGCTGGTAAGAAATGATGGGCTTCTCTCCATGTGAGGAAGCAGCAGAGGTTACTGCTGATATTCCAGTCTTCTGCTCAGCAGGTCCAGGAACCCCTAAAATTTGTAAGGCCTCTTCAGTAAGATCTGACAAAGATCTTTCCTGGTAAAAAATGACAGGCTTCTCTCTATACGAATAGGAACTAGATGGTACTGTAGGTATCTCAGTCTTCTGGTCAGCTTGTCCAGGAACACCTGAAACTGTCAGAGCCTCTTTAGTTAGATGACTATCTGGTTCTTGCTGGTAGAAAATACTCGACTTCTCCCTATGTGAATAGGAACTAGAAGGTTCTGATGGTAACCTAGTCTTCTGGTCAGCTGGCCCAGGAACAGCTGAAACTGTCAGAGCCTCTTCAGTTAGATGACTATCTGGTTCTTGCTGGTAGAAAATACTAGACTTCTCCCTATGTGAATAGGAACTAGAAGGTTCTGATGGTAACCTAGTCTTCTGGTCAGCTGGCCCAGGAACAGCTGAAACTGTCAGAGCCTCTTCAGTTAGATGACTATCTGGTTCTTGCTGGTAGAAAATACTAGACTTCTCCCTATGTGAATAGGAACTAGAAGGTTCTGATGGTAACCTAGTCTTCTGGTCAGCTGGCCCAAGAACAGCTGAAACTGTCAGAGCCTCTTCAGTTAGATGACTATCTGGTTCTTGCTGGTAGAAAATACTCGACTTCTCCCTATGTGAATAGGAACTAGAAGGTTCTGATGGTAACCTAGTCTTCTGGTCAGCTGGCCCAGGAACAGCTGAAACTGTCAGAGCCTCTTCAGTTAGATGACTATCTGGTTCTTGCTGGTAGAAAATACTCGACTTCTCCCTATGTGAATAGGAACTAGAAGGTTCTGATGGTAACCTAGTCTTCTGGTCAGCTGGCCCAGGAACAGCTGAAACTGTCAGAGCCTCTTCAGTTAGATGACTATCTGGTTCTTGCTGGTAGAAAATACTCGACTTCTCCCTATGTGAATAGGAACTAGAAGGTTCTGATGGTAACCTAGTCTTCTGGTCAGCTGGCCCAGGAACAGCTGAAACTTTCAGAGCCTCTTCAGGTATATGACTGTCTGTCAAGTCCTGTGGGTAGAAAATAATGGGTTTCCCTATATTTGAGTAGGAACTAGAAAGTTCTGATGGCAACCCAGTCTTCTGATCAGGTGGTCCAGAAACAGCTGAAATTTTCAGAGCCTCTTCAAGAAAATGACTGTCTGGCAAGGCCTGTGGTGAGAAGAAAACATGCTTCTCTCTATGTGAGTAGGAAGGAGAGGGTACTGTTGGTATTCCAGGCTTCTGGTCAGCTGGTCGAGAAACAGCTGTAACTTTTAGAGCCTCTTCAGGTAGATGACTGTCTGGTAAGCCCTGTGGGTAAAAAATAAAGGGCTTTTCTCTATGTGAGTAAGAAGGAGAGGTTACTGTAGGTATCCCAGTCCTCTGGTCAGCTGGTCCAGAAACAGATGAAACTTTCTGAACCTGTTCAGTTAGATGACTGTCTGGCAACTCCTGTTGGTAGAAAATATTGGACTTCTCCCTCTGTGAGTAGAAACTAGAGGCTTCTGATGGTAACCCACTCTTTTTTTCAGTTGGTCCAGGAGCAACTGAAACTTTCAGAGCCTCTTCAGGTAGATAACTGCCTGGCAAGGCCTGTTGGTAGAAAATACTGGGCTTCTCTCTAGGTGAGTAGGAACTAGAGGGCACTATTACTACACCAGTCTTCTGGTCACTTGCTCTAGGTACAGATGAAACTTTCAGAGCCTCTTCAGTTAGAAGACTATCTGGTAATGCCTGATGGTAGAGAATATGGGGCTTCTCTCCAAATGAGTAGGCTCTAGAGGACCCTGTTGGTATCAGAGTCTTCTGTTCAGCAAATCCAGGAACAGCTGAAACTTTCTGAGCCTGTTCAGTTAGATGACTGTCTGGCAATGTCTGTTGATAGAAAATATGGGGCTTCTCCCCATGTGGGTAAGAAGGAGAGGCTACTGTTGGTATCCCAGTCTTCTGCTCAGCAAATCCAGGAAAAGTTGAAACTTTCTGAGCCTGTTCAGTTAGACGACTGTCTGGAGCTGTCTGTTGATAAAAAATATGGGGCTTCTCTCCATGTAAGTAAGGAGTAGAGGTTAACGTTGGTGTCCCAGTCTTCTGCTCAGCATCTCCAGGAACAGCTGAAACTTTCTGAGCCTGTTCAGTTAGAAGACTGTCTGGTAATTTCTGCTGGTAGAGAATATTAGGCTTCTCTCCAAATGAGTAGGACCTAGAGGACCCTGTTGGTATCCCAGTGTTCTGGTCAGCTGGTCCAGGAAAGGCTGAAACTTTCTGAACCTTTTCAGTTAGATGACTATCTGGTAACTCCTGCTTGTAAAAAATAATGGGCGCCTCTAAATGTGAGTAGGAACTAGAAGGTGCTGTTTGTATCCCAGTGTTCTGGTCAGTTCGTCCAGGAATAGCTGAAACTTTCTGAGCCTGTTCAGTTAGATGACTGTCCGGCAATGTCTGTTGATAGAAAATATGGGGCTTCTCTCCATGTAAGTAAGGAGTAGAGGTTACTGTTGGTGTCCCAGGCTTCTGCTCAGCAAATCCAGGAACAAATGAAACTTTCTGAGCCTGTTCAGTTAGATGACTGTTTGGCAACTCCTGTTGATATATACTGGGCTTCTCTCCATGTGAGTAAAGAAGTAGAGGTTACTGTTGGTGTCCCAGGCTTCTGCTCAGCAAATCCAGGAACAGCTGAAACTTTCTGAGCCTGTTCAGTTAGAAGACTGTCTGGCAATGTCTGCTGATAGAAAATATGGGGCTTCTCTCCATGTAAGTAAGGAGTAGAGGTTACTGTTGGTGTCCCAGGCTTCTGCTCAGCAAACCCAGGAACAAATGAAACTTTCTGAGCCTGTTCAGTTAGATGACTGTCTGGCAACTCCTGTTGATATATACTGGGTTTCTCTCTATGTGAGTAAGAAGTAGAGGTTACTGTTGGTGTCCCAGGCTTCTGCTCAGCAAATCCAGGAACAGCTGAAACTTTCTGAGCCTGTTCAGTTAGAAGACTGTCTGGCAATGTCTGCTGATAGAAAATATGGGGCTTCTCTCCATGTAAGTAAGGAGTAGAGGTTAATGTTGGGGTCCCAGTCTTCTGCTCAGCAAATCCAGGAACAGCTGAAACTTTCTGAGCGTGTTCAGTTAGATGACTGTCTGGCAATGTCTGCTGATAGAAAATATGGGGCTTCTCTCCATGTAAGTAAGGAGTAGAGGTTACTGTTGGTGTCCCAGGCTTCTGCTCAGCTGGTCCAGGAGAAGCTGAAAGTTTTTGAGCCTGTTCAGATAGATGACTGTCTGGCAAGGCTTGTTGGTAGAAAATACCAGGCTTCTCTTCAAGTGAGTAGAAACTTGAAGGTATGGTTGTTATCCTACTCTTTTGATCAGCTGGCCCAGGAACAACTGAAACTTTCAGAGCCTGTTCAGTTACAGAACTTCCTGGCAACCGTTGCTGGGAGAAAATAACATTCTCCTCTCTATCTGAATAGGAACTAGAAGCTACTGTTGTTTTCTTAGTCTTCTGGTCAGCAGATCCAGGAACAGCTGAAACTTTGACAGCCTCTTCAGGTTGACGACTGTCTGGCAATACCTGTTGGTAGAAAACACCGGACTTCTCTTCAACTGAGTAGGAACTTGGAGGGACTGCAGATATCCCAGTCTTCTGGTCAGCAGGTGCAGGAACAGCTGAAACTTTTAGAGCCTCTTCAGGTAGATGACCATCTGGCAAGGCCTGTGGGTAGAAAACATTAGGCTTCCCTCTTTGTGAGTAGGAACTAGAGGGTACTGTGGATATCTCAGTCTTCTGGTTAGCTAGTTCAGAAACAGCTAAAACTTTTAGAGTCTCTTCAGTTAGATGACTATCTGCCAATGCCTGTCGGTTGAAAGAATCAGTATGTTGACCAACAGTATTCTCCTGAGGAGACCTTACAGCCAACTGAGGAAGGTCCTCAGGGGACAAGGATAAATGAGATCCAATGTCTGAATCTCCCGGAGTGGTAGTGATGCCTGGTTTCAAGTTGGACTGGGTAATTTCAGCTATGCCTCCTTTAGAAGTATCTCCTAAGAAAAAGAGATTTGTTCATATTGTTAATATTATATACACATATATTTCGAATTAAAAAATATTATTTTTATGCACTAAAAAAAATAAAGCAAGCTTTCCTTCCTTAGGCCTTTATGCTTCTAGAAAGGAATCCTAAGGAAATAGTCATCAAAAGAGATAAATATTTACACACAGACGTATTAATACAAAGCCATTTATAACAGCAAACTAATGTGGGAATAATTTAAATATTCCACAATAGACTAATGCTTTAAAAATACTAGTATATCTATTTAATGAAATACTATGTGAATCTTAAAATTTGGATTTTTAAAGAATTTTCAATGTGACGGAAAAATGCTGTCCACTCTGAGATTTGATTTCACCCTACTTATAAGCTAATAAGTTAGTCTGTTATTGTGTCATGTATACTGGCAGAAGACATGAGACTCCTCAATCAGAGACAAAATACTTTATTGGAAGGCAAGGGAAAGAATTATCAGCTAATTTTCATAGATTTCCCTTTCCCCCACATCCTACAAAGGCAATGAAATATGGCCCAGATGGATGCCATGCACGCAGTGGGTTTAACTGACTCTCCTAACAAATGTACCTTGAATAAGATATATATTTTTAATTATACGAAACTGTAAAGATATTAAAGGTTACACTAAGGAGTTTAAACAATTATATGGCAGGGGGAGTTGTTGACAGCTTTGATAAGAACTGTACTGCAGAAATATAAATTCCAGATGGATGGGAAGGGAATACAAAAGTGTAAGCAGCACTATCTACCAGAACTTTCTGAAACAATGGAAATATTCTATATCTATACCATCTAATACAGAAATTCTAAATGAAAGTAGTGCTAAATGGCAGTGAAAAGTAAATGACTGAAATAGAAAGGACAAGATTTGACAAGTAACGCATTCACTCATTTGTTCATTCAGAAAAACTAATGTTTACTATATGCCAGTCACTGTTCTACATTTAGGAAATAGAGCAATAAACAAAAAGACAAAGCCTACATTCTAATTCTGCCTCACAGAGCTTCATTTCCAATATGAGGAAGCAGACAATAAATAAATTGGTAAAACATACGGTATGTCAGATGGTGCTAAGAGGGTTGATATATACAGCAAATAATATCTTTACTTTACCTACAGGGAAAGTAAGTTTCCAAGATGACAGTATAACACTGCTTCTCAATGTGGAGATCTTGTTAACTTGCAGATTCTGACTGAGTAGGTCTGCAGTGGGATCTGAAATCCTGCACTTCTAATACGCTCTCTAGTGATACCCAACACCATTGGTCCACAGACCACATTGTGAGTAGTAAAGATACATAATTTTTCTGGAGTTGTACAGTGAGTAAGTGACAAAAATGGGCACTTTAACCATTTAACACTAACTCCGAATTCTGAATTCTTTTCACCACACTGACTGGCATTCTAAACCCACTGGGAAGCTTCAAAAAAGTAGCTGAATATAGAATGAAATGGGTTGAGGAGTGAAATTGAAAGGCAAAGAAGTATCAAGTATTAACTCTTGAAGAAAACTAAAAGAGAAAAGGAAGAATGTAACTTGCATAGTAACTTGAGAAAGAATATGGCTTATGAAAATTTTTATGAGAAAAAAACAGCTTCAAGACAATAAATCAAAGCAGATTAACAAACTGAACAATCAATGGATCAAAGAAGAAATCAAAAGAGAAAGCAAAAAATACCTTGAGACAAATGAAAACAGAAACACAATGTACCAAAGTTTATGAGATGCAGCAAAAGCAGTTCTAAGAGGGAAGTTCATAGCGATAAATGCCTACATCAAGAAACAAGAAAAATCTCAAATAAAAACCTAACTTTATACCTCAAAGACCTGGAAAAGGAAAAACAAAGCCCAAAGTTAATAAAGGAAGTCAATTAGCAAATATCGGGGCAGAAATAAATGCTAAAACAAAGGCTAAAAAGACAACAGGAAATATTAATGAAACTAAGAGCTGGTTCTTTTAAAAAATAAACAAAATTCACAAACTTTTAGCTGGACTCATCAAGGAAAAAAAGACAAGGGACTCAAAATCAGAAGTGAAAGAGGAAATGTTACAGTTAATACCACAGAAATAGAAAGGATCATAAGAGACTGCTATGAACAATTAACACCAACAAATTTGACAACCTAGAAAAAAATGGATAAATTCCTGAAAACATACAACCTATTGAGACTGAATCATGAAGAAACTGAAAATCTGAACAGACTAATTACAGTAAGGAGACTGAATCAGTAATCAAAAACCTCCCAACAAACAAAAGTCCAGGACAAGATGGCTTCACTGGTGAATTCTACCAAACATTTAAAGAATTAATACCAACCCTTCTCAAACTCTTCCAAAAAACAGAAGAGAGGGGAACATTTCCAAATTCATTTTACCAGGACAGCATTACCCTGAAACCAAAACTAGATAATGACATTACAAGAAAAGAAAATTACAGGCTAATATCCCTGATGAACATAGACAGAAAAACCCTCAACAAAAAACAATACATTAAAAGGATTATGTATCATGATCAAGTGAGACTTATTCCCGGGATGCAAGGATGGTTCAACATCTGCAAATCAATCAATGTGATATACCAGATTAACAAAATGAAGGATAAAAAAATCACATGACCATCTCAACAGATGCAGAAAAAGCATTTGACAAAATTCAACATCTACTTATGATTTTGCTCAACAAAGGAAGTATGGAGGGACTGTATCTCAACCTAATAAAGGCCATATATGACAAGCCCACAGCTAACATCAAACTCAATGGTGAAAGATGACAATTTTTCTTCTAAGATCAGGAACAAGACAAGATGTTCACCAACACCACTTTTATTGAACATAGTATTGGAAATCCTAGCCAGAGCAATTAGGCAAGAAAAAGAAAAGGCATCCAGGGTCCAGCCACATGGCCAAGTGGTTAAGTTCATGCGCTCTGCTTCGGCGGCCCAGGGTTTTGCCAGTTTCAATCCTGGGCACGTACATGGCACTGCTCATCAAACCATGCTGAGGCAGCATCCCACATGCCACAACTAGAAGGACCCACAACTAAAAAATACACAACTATGTACCGAGGAGCTTTGGAAGAAAAAGGAAAAAAAAAATTAAAATCTTAAAAAAAAAAACAGCATCCAAACTGGAACAGAAGCAGCAAATTGTCTCTTTTTGCAGATGACATGATATTATACATAGAAAACCCTGAAGACTCCACCAAAAAACTGTCAGAACTAATAAATTCAGTAAAGTCGCAGGATACAAAATCAATACACAAAATGAGTTGCATTTCTACATACTAATAACAAACTATCAGAAAGAGAGATTAAGGAAACAATCCCATTTACAATTACATTAAGAAGAATAAAATACCTAGGAATAAATTTAACCAAAGAGGTGAAAGATCTGTACACTGAAAACTACAAAAAGTTGATGACAGAAGTTGAAGACACAAATAAATAGCAAGATATTCCGTGCTCACGGATTGGAAGAATTAATATGGTTAAAATATCCATACTACTGAAAGCCACCTACAGATTCAATGCAATCTCTATCAAAATTTCAATGGCATTTTTCAGAGAAATAGAACAAATAATCCTAAAATTTGTATGGAACCACAAAAGATTCCGAATAGCCAAAGCAATCCTAAGAAGAAGAAAGATGGAGGCATCACTCTCCCTGATTTCAAACTATATTACAAAGCTAAGGTAATCAAACCAGTATAGTTATTGGCATAAAAACAGACACATAGATCAGCAGAACAGAATAGAAAGCTCAGAAATAAACCCATGAATAAAGGGTCAACTAATTTATAACAAAGGAGCCAAGAATATACAATGGATAAAGGACAGTCTCTTCAATAAATGGTGATGGGAAAACTGGATAGCCACATGCAAAAGAATGAAACTAGACCATTATCTGACACAAAAATTTACTCAAAATGGATTAAAGACTTGAATGTAAGACCTAAAAGCATAACCTTCTGGAATAAAACATAGGCTGTAAGCTCCTTGACATAGGTCTTAGCTATGATTTTATGGATTTGACACCAAAAGCAAAGGCAACAAAAGCAAAAATAAACAAAGGGGACGATATCAAACTAAAAAGCATCTGCATAGCAAGGAAACCATCAACAAAATGAAAAAGAACTTACCAAAAGGGAGAAAATATTTTCAAATCATATATCTGATAAGGGATGAATATCCAAAATATATAAAGAACTTACATAACTCAATAGCAAAAAAAACAATCAATCTGATTAAAAAACAGGCAAAGCATCTGAATAGACACTTTTCCAAAGAAGACATACAGATGGCCAACAGGTACATGAAAAGGTGCTGAACATCACTAATCATTAGGGAAATGTAAATCAAAACTACAATAAGATATCATCTCACATCTGTTAGAATCGCTATTATGAAAAAGACAAAAAATAACAAGTGTTGATGACGATGTGGACAAAAGGGAACCCTTGCGCACTGTTGGTAAGAGTGTAAATTCATGCAGACACTTTGGAAAACAGTATAGAGGTTCCTCTAAAAGTTACAAATAGAACTACTCTATGATCCAGCAATTCCACTTCGAGGTATTTATCCAAGAAAACAAAAACACTAATTCGAAAGATATGTGCTCCCCATGTTCACTGCAGCATTATTTATAGTAGCCAAGATAGGGAAACAACCTACCTGTCCATCGATGGATGAATGTGATACACACACACATACACACACACAGAATACTATTCAGCCATAAAAAAGAAGGGAATCTTGCCATTTGCAACAACATGGATGACCTTGAGGGTACTATACTAAGTGACATAAGTCAGACGGAGAAAGACAAATACCATATGATCTCACTTATATGTGGAATCTTAAGAAAACAAAACCAAGCTCTTAGATACAGAAAACAGATGGGTGGTTGCCAGAAGCATGGGGTGGGGTGTGGGCGAAATGTGTGAAGGAGATCAAAAGGTATACAAATTTCC